GGATGGACTGAAAGATGCCCGAGTCCTTGATTGGATTGGCGATGATTTGTGACACTGTACTTAGAGTGCAGTGAAAGCTAAAGCAAGCATTCGCCGGTGTGGAAATGCCCCCGCCCCCCCTAACCCCAACTATGGATTCTCTGGAAGGCCTGAAGAGTGGAGTGAGTGTGGGGCCCGGCACCTCCGCTGCCTGTGCTTGTCCGTCTGTAGCTCCATTTCCAATCCACTGTTCGGCAAATTTGGCAAGTTTTGAAATGCTGCAATAAAAAGTTTGTACGTTGTCCAGCTGAGTTGAAGAGAATTTGTTTCCTAAACGATCCACCAGAGGAACGGAGAGCGCCTCTACCGTGTTGAAAAGTAATCATTGCCTTTGTTGGTCACATGCCATGAACTACTAGTCAGATGCATCCACTTTGAACGGACAATATTTACAACACATTTGCAGGTTGCAGCAATGAGTGAGCCCATTTTGAACTGTAGTGCACTTTAACAGGGCTTTTATTATTTAGTCAATCAACACCTTTCTGCTGCCATCTGCTGCATAACGTGTTGATTAAGAAACTATGTTTCGCTTCAAGTGAGCATGAAGAAGGTTTTGCAATGGCGGACGACCGTTTGTTGAATTTGGATCTATTAATACTGAACTTGTCTCTTACATAAAAATTCACACAGAAATATTTGGATGGAAACCAAGCTTGTGCATGTCTCAGTGTATCTGACACACGTGTCTGCTTCTGCCGTGTGTGCGTGTGTTTGTGTGTGTGTGTGTGTGTGTGTGTGTGTTTGTGAGGGTGGGTGGGCGGTGGACTGGATATGTTCAGAGATGCACTTTGAGCTGATGGAAGCTAACAGCTGCCTTACTATTTTACGGAGTGACGTGGCGGTGGGTGAGAAGGGCCCAGGCAGGAATGTGAAGCGCTCGGGTGATTCTCCCTCTGCCATGTCCTGGGAGAGTGGCTCTATTTCTATCGGTCTGTCTATCGATCCGTTCGTATCTGTTTTTATCTGTCTCCGTGGGTCTCAGTGCCTGCCATTTTTTATGCTGCATCAGGTTCACAGTAGACAATCAGAGGGGTTTGTATTATTTGTAAAGCACAGCCTCGTAGTCTGGTGTCCGAGTCTTTTAACGAATGGATGTATTGCTTTTGACATGGCCTTCTCTGATACTTTGTGCTGAACTATGAATCTATGTTTCTATATTTTCATTCATGTTTGCACAGTCCTCATTACGATTTCGCATCATTTAACATTAGCGTATGATAGCTGTATATAGCATACCATTTAGTATTTACTTAAACGGAGCCCAGTTTAATACATTTACATACACTAGCTCACTGTTTGAACATGTCTAGAAGCTCAGCTGTGTTACATTTCACACTACGCTAGCTGATTTTCATAATGAGGTAGTGTAACAATTATTCTGACGAGTGACTGAGTAATTTGTATAAGAATACACTTTATTAAAACAAGAGTACCATAAAAACCTACAAAACTGTCTGATATTTGAGCAGCATATACCACATTAAGTTAATGGCACTTATAAACTGCTACTTCCTCCACTGGCACATACACAACCTGTGAGTAGCTAGCTGTAACTTAGGCTAACAGCTGGTTCACCTGACTGTGAGTATCTGGTCGACACCACCGACATTTTAAAATGTCTCCTTGTAGTCAGCTTTGGAAGTTAGATGTTCCACTATCCAGAAATACATAAAAGGAAGTGTGGAGAGAAATCCAGATACATCATAATTCATAGAACCAAAGCTACATGTGTAACTCTTGTTCGGAGTTGTAATATGAAGAGAGGGATGAAGAGTGTGCGACCGTCATATGGTTTGCAGTTATGTGTGAGCGAAGCACAAGGCGTTGGCAGTTGTACAAGACAGTTGTACTCTACAGCTGAGAACAGGGCTGAAACAGGGCGTGTTCAAGATAAAACATGGTGTGGAATTGCTCTTTAATCACAAGGATATTAGGTCTCAATCCCCAACAGCTACAGAGCTCCAGGCCCGGGCACTTTGGGCGCTGGGACCCATTGTGGAAAATCACGTATTTATTGCACTTACTTACCAATAAATAAAGCGTATATTTAATACATTGTATCAGGTCATTGCCACACGACCTCCACCAAGGTAAACCATACAAACGTGATATTTCAGTACAACTGTAACTTATAGAGTTAGTTAGGTAGACTTGACCCTACATTGTTAGCTATACTAATGTCGTTGGCAAACTAACGTTAGCACAACAACAACAACAACAACAACAACAACAACAACAGGGGAATACAATGCAAGAAGCCCAATGTAATCATTTCAGCTAACTTTAATGTTAGTTTGGTAACAACATGAGCATAGCTAGCTGACGTTAGCAAGCTATGCTACTCTCTGCTTAACTTTATGTTACCTACATTTCTAAGATACAGTTATGTTGAAATATTACGGTTTATAGTTTACCTGAGTGTTACTGGTGGAGGTCGTGTGGCTTGTTCAAACCGTCTCTGGTCATGTCCCGGTAGACTCGAGCCTGGAGCTCTGCTGCTAACCCCTTCTCCTCAATCTCCTTTTCCGCAACATTACCTAAAATACAATGATGAATGTACCACACTAGTGAAATTATTCCTTAAAGATACTGACTTTAAGAGGAATGCTGAATGTGTACTACACTGTCCACTGCTGTCTGTGAAGTGTACCAGTATACAAAAACACAGGATCCATATACAACACAACGCTTACTAATGTTTTCTCTTTGTTTTAACCATGATTTACTACATATTGGAATATACAACACACTCAACACACAACAAGGTCTCATGACTCACTTTAGGCTGACAAAGTTGTATGATTCTTTTTGGCCATTCTGGGAAAGGTGGAGCTGTTAGAAATGTTCGTTTTGTTGTACCATTTGAGTCAGTATATGTTTGTATTGTTATGGTCCTTGCTAAACTCGCAGTAAATGACTCTACTGTTGAGGTAAATACTATTCATTGATGTTGAGTTGATGATAAAGATTTCTCTTCTGTTGTTAAGTCTCCAAACGGTTTCAACAGAATATTTGTTGGAGCCTTTGTCACACACAGCGGTTATCATGCAGTGATAAACGTTTGTGATTTTAGTAACACAGACCATCCAAGGAATCATACATGTGTATATATATAAGATTATTAAAGTGACAGTCAGTCAATTAGTCCTTGGAATATTTCACTTAAAAGTGTTTGCTTAGGTATTATAGCATAAATACCATGAAACAGAGAGCCGTGATGCTGAATATATATTATTTATTTATTCATATTTTGATGTGGGAATATGTATTATTCAGCTTTAACCAATACAAAAATGTCTTTGCTGATTAAGATGAATATGATTGGCATTTGATTAACAGCCTGTGTTTACTATTTCATACAATATTGTCTATGGATTTAGTCATGATACCTGTTCTGTGTAACAATGGCCTCATGATTCATTTTCAGTTCTTGCTCAATATTCTGTATGTTAAAACAACAAGGCAAAATGTCTCAATGTTGATGGTTGATACGCTTTATTTTATGGGTTCGTAATGAACAAAGTAGTTTCATTAAGTTATAATTCTTTCCAGGAAATAATTCAGAAATTACGGACATGGAAAAATAAAGCTTCACTGTGATGGGATGGGTTTTAATACATACAGCGTACAATCAGTTTACCTTTAAGATGTATTATGGGGTTGTTGATTGCAATCGATTTCTTTGTTAATGCATTTAAACTCTGTAGATTGTTTCAGCAGATTAATTAGGTGGTTTATCGCTCACATGTAAATCTGCGTGCATGGGTTGGATGATGTTGCTCACTTGCATTTCTTTCAGATAACTGCACAGCTGTGATGTTGTCTCATCATCAGCATTTTAAATTCCCAAATGGACCACTGATGCCTAGTGGAATAGTGCAGTGATCGTTTGCTCTGGATTACAAAAATGTAAATGTTGTATGCCCTATGATATGATAAACAGTACTTTCGATAGATTTTTGTAGCCATGGTATAATCGGAGTATTCCACCCAGACATGTAGTTTTATCTGCAGAAGCGTCTAGAAGCCAAGAACGAGATTCATTTTGTGTTTGGTTCTATGTTGTGTTTTTCAATTATTCAAAGCTGCTGGTGTGTGAATGGTTGTTTCAATATAAAGTTTTCGCCCATTTGAAATCAGCCACTACTAACATGTCAAATATACTTGTGTATGTGGATGAAAGATTTAGCTAGAATATTTGAACTCTTAATTAATATTTGAACTCTTAATTAAGTTTAGAAGGATAAAAAAATCATTGTCTTAAATCTGTTTCCACCCTGATTACTGGATTTAGCATAACTTATTTTTCTTATGATGTGATTGTGATGCCTAGTTTAGCATGCAGATATGTTGTTGTTAGTTAGGATGTCAGAGTAAAGTATGATTAGTATAAAGTATTCAGTCAGACAGACAGAGTGGATTGCAGAAGTTAAAGAAATTTGTTTGCAAACTCAGTCCCAACAAGGCTTCACAGTGTATTTTAGAGTAATAACTTAATTTCCATTTGGATCCCACAGAAACTCGATTAGAACATATTCTCCCTCCCAACTCGTCAAACACAGACTCTCCATCAGTGGCCCTAAGCTTCTGTCTATGACGCTCAAAGTACCACTCTTGCATCAGCTTTATATGTGTCAGACACGGTGTGTCATTTTCCACTCGTTACATGGATAGTGTCTTTTCAAAATAAACTTCTGTGTTCACAGAAAAAGGTACAGTTTCTGCTCATTACACGCATACAGTCTCTTTTCAAAATAAACATCCAACTTAGGTTTACAAATTGACGTGGTTAGGTTTGGGTAACAAAAATAGGTAAGAAAAGTGTTGAGAAAAGTTACGTAACAAAACTAAT